CCATCCATAACGTTGCAGGGAGGGGTGCGTTCGGCTGATCGGGCCTTCGTTTTTAGCCCAAGTGTGACCTGCGGCGGGGGTGGCCCTCCACATGCTGCGCAGCTCCTACATCGAAAAAAAAACGCACACGCAGGTCGCGTCGTGGCGGCCCACGCCGCATGGAACCAAGCCAGCGCAAGGGCCACCATGCTCCTCCACATGGGAGCCGTCCTGGCTCGCAAAGACACGCCAGCGTGCCTGGGGGCTTGAAAAGGACAACGTCAAACTTCGCGTTCGCTTTAGCTCGGCGCCGCTCATGCCCACAACCTGACTCCGAAGCTCAGAGCGGGCTTGACCCCCGCCGCGTAGCCGAGGGTAACTTGGTGGGTTCCGACCTGTCCCGCCAGTCCTCGAAGTTTATCCCCGAGGCGACGAGCAACCGCGGGCGAGGAACCGAAGGTCATCAACGTATCGCCTGCCAAATTCACCCCGAGCTCCTGGGTAAAAACTCTGTGCAAGTCCTGCGCCGCTCTTTCTAGCGTCTGGGTGACCTCAGTCTCCGTGCCATACGCAGAGACCGTGTCGCCGTCAACATGCGACGCGAGATCGATGCCAGGGCTCCGCTGCACGGCACCATCAAAAAGCTCGAGCGCGCACACGCGCACAAGCATGTCGTTGAAAATGGAACCTGCTGGCAGTCCGCTCTCGGCGTGCAACACCGCCAGCGCATGGTCCGCACCCAGACGCAAGATCCTAGGACCTCTCCAGAAATTGTAAGTGACTTTCAAGATGGCAGGGTCGAGTCCACTCCGATGGCACCGATGCCGAAGAGCGCTAAGGTCAAAGCTTTCATAATACTTGGGCCATCCCAAGAGAACCCCGCAGTAACCCCTCCGTCGGCCACTCACTCTGGCCTCAAATTTAACCGCCTGGTTCCACACACCGCCTTCTGCCGACTTCCCCGCTCCGAAAGCCCAATACCGTCGGGGGTGGCGATCATTAAGCGTTGTCAAACGGGGTCTTCTTAATCGTTCTCAGAGCCTCACCAGAGCGGAACACACTGAGATCGGGCGCGGGAGGAACCTGGCACGCCCAGGCCCTATAGAAAGTAAGCGGCAGCAGCGCGGGGGCCTGCCACAATCGCAGTGCCCGCGCCAGCTGCTTCTGTCAACGTCGCTCCTCCGCGCAACAAGTACCTACAGACGGACCCCCGTCCATTCCGCCTCAGATGGGTTCTGCCAGTCCGAGACCTGCAATCGTCCCGTTGTGGACTCCTCCTCCTGCTCCACCCCCCACCCTCCCGTCTACTTCTCACTTGAGCTGTCCCGCCGTGTAAAAATGTCTCCGCGTGGTGAAGGGCCGACCATCGGCCGCACCGACGGGGCACCACTCCTTGACTGCCCACGCCTGTGAGGAAGTACCTCCGCCTCCGCCGGGGAGAGGGCTTCCCAGCTTTCCATCTGATGGGAAGGGGGCTCCACGGCGCTGGTTCGGACCCGCAGCCCATAGGCTGGGGGGCGCAAGAGGGGGCTGACCAGCGCCAAAGGAGGGTTCAGATCGGGATCGAGATCGTGGAGTTCGGGCGTCTGCTCTAAGCCATCGCGAGGGCTTTAAGAGAAACATCGCCTGCGTGACTTGTGATTGGCCGAGCTCGGTTGGCGACCCTCGCTCTCGGACGCCAAACAAGGAGGAGGAGGAGGAGGAGGAGGAGGAGGGACAGAAGGCGGAAGGAACTGAGCGCACCCTCACTAATATTCAGACTCTCTCCTGAGAGGTTGCCTGGCCTCGTGGACACTGACACTGGCAGGGGACCTGGCGTTTTCAGCAGCAATCGCCACAGGTGTGAAGCTGCGACTGCACGCGCGCCAAAAGTGCAAAAGCAACTGACTTCAAACCAAATCAAACTCGGCCTTCTCGGCGCGATTTCACCTTTTATTTCCGGCAGAGAACAATCCTACCATGTGGGACGCCTTCGCTCTGCGAACCCGCTCGGGCTTCAACACCGACACCAAGCATGCCAGTGCTATGTCGTCGTGCACTTTACCCATACTCGTCATCGCCTCCTGGTGGCAACCAGCCTGGGAGAAGAACTCGAGTATCCGCCGTGCGGCATATGCGATGGTCTCTTCACGGCGCCACCGGACCGACAACTCCAGCGAACCATGCCCGCAAGCGGTCTCCAGGAACAACACCCGATAGACTCCAACAATCTGCTGGCTTGGGCAAGTACGGCTGCTCCAGCGCTGTCTCTGGAGCGACGCACGGCAGAGATCCGCACAGGGTCTCCCTTGTGCTGGGATTTGGAACGTGGGCTGCCATGCTGAAGTCAACAAGGCGGCAAATGTGCCGATAATATCCTATCTCTACCGCCACGTGCATCAAAGACAGTTGCCCATGGACGACGTCCTGGGCGTGGCAGTAGGAAAGAGCACTCGCGAGCTGGGTACTGCAGTTCAAGGCGTCGCCCCTGGACAAGGAGTGGCCTGGTAGAGTCGACAACACTTGCTCCACGTAAACGTCGCCAGCATACTACTAGAGACCCGCATATACATTACGCTTGCTTTGCATCATGCTTACGCGATGGGTGGTGTTTGGGTGATCAAGGGTGTGGACCAAGAAACAAAACTCCGTGTGTATGTTCTCCACCTCCTTAACATCTGTGACGCTGCGCTTGTCGTGCACCTTTTATCACTACGTGATCATGCTGCCCGTTCACTACCAACAACACCTGCTGGTGATTTAAATACGGGCGCACGAACCGGAAATCCCCGACCCGATTCCCAGATTCGGGGTGGTCTTCCAAAGGAGGCCGCAGAACTCGTCCTCGATGATCTGGCACGCGCTTGTTGTCAGAGGTTCCCCATGGTACATATCGTTCCCATATTCCCGCATTCGCTGCTCGGTGGCGTCGGTGACCTATCTTGCAGCCCCTGCGGGTGATTATCCAGCTCCATCAGCACGCCCTTCGCCTCAAAGCTGTAGATCTCGTCTTGTCGCGCCATCAGTGTACTGATGTAGTCCTTGGTCAGCTCGGGATCCAACCTGTCTGGAAGCTGCAGCAAGAAGACGAGTGCATCGGGGTGAGCCGTCCTCAGATAGTCCAAGAGACATCACGCGCCTCTTTTCTCTCTCGTCGTCCTGTATACGGACACGATGAACACGACGTCGTGCTGCTCCACTATCCGAATGATGTTTTCCGAACTCACCTCTCCACAACCTTCCCCAGTTGCCAACACGTTGGTTGGCTTTTCCTGCGAGCTGGCGCCAGGGTCAAGAAGCCAAAGGCCGACATGCTTGGTGCGACGCTGGAGACATATGCCTCCACGACGCTTTGGATCGCACATAATGTTGTCACAATAGTGAACCAATGCGATTCGTAGCCGGGACACGCGATGAAACGACACCTCCAGCCAAATTGCTTCAGACAGAACGGCTCGAGCTACGGATTACATAGCGCTTACACTGTACACCTACGTATTCTGTACTGCCTACTTACGGTTTACCCTGCTGGAGGCTCTCACAGCCGGTGCCCGCCAGCAGCCTTTCTAAGGGGCCTCTGCCTCGGGCGGCGGCGGGAATCGGTGGCCCCTCGGCTTCGGGGGACGGGGCCCTCTGCAGCCCCTTCACGGGGAGAAGCCACGCATTAGCCTTGGCAAGGCACCGGGGTTGCCCGAGGCTGCTCGGGGTTGCCCAGGCTTGCCCGCGTTGCCCGAGCAGCAGCGCCAAGCAATGCCAAGCAATGCCAAGCAACCCCGCGCAAAGCCAAGCAATGCAAAGCAATCCTAGGCAATGCCAAGCAGCGTCAAGCAATGCCAAGGAATGCCGAGCAATGCCAAGCAATGCCAAGCAACGCAGCGCAATGCACAGCAATACCAAGCAGAGCACAGCAATGCCAACCAATGCCAAGCAATGCCAAGCAACGGCAATACCTAGCAACGCCAATCAATGCAAACCAACGCAAAGCTGTGACAAGCATTGAATTGCTATGCGCTGGTCAGAGCAGCTTTCAACTGTTTGGGAAGAAAGAAGGCTCTTCATTAGGGTCGCGCCCGGTTCATCATTCCCCAAACACTGCTTGCCACGATGCCGCCCGTGCCACGTTGCCCAAAACAATGCCTCCCCGTGCCGCCCGTGCCACGTTGCCACAACGCGTGCCACGTTGCCGCCCGTGCCACCTCGTGGGCTCCGCGTGGGCGCGCCCTGCGCTGGGTGGGTTTCCCGAAGTTGCGCCAATGTACCGCCCGTGCCGCCTCGTGGGCGCCTCGTGGGCGCCTCGTGTGCGCCCCGTGCCCCTCCTCCTCCTCCTCCTCCTCCTCCTCCTCCTCCTCCTCCTCCTCCTCCTCCTCCTCCTCCTCCTCCTCCTCCTCCTCCTCCTCCTCCTCCTCCTCCTCCTCCTCCTCCTCCTCCTCCTCTCTGCGCTGCAGCGTCATAGCCTGGCACGCGCCGCTCCGCGCCGCTCCGCGACGGCGGCCGGGAACGGCCCTCAGAGGCCTGTTCCCCCTGCGGTCCGGGTCGGGGGCTGCGGCCCGCAGGCCGGTCCCCGGACTCCTCTGGGGGTCCTGCCGCACCAGTTCTCCGCGCTGCGCCCAGGCGTGGCGACGGGCGGCCCCCCGCGAAGGCCAGCTGCCGCGGACTCACCCGGCCCCCCTCTGAGCAGTGCCGCCGAGGCGGAGCTCCGAGTCCCTGGAGGTTCTCGGGCCACATCTCGAGCCTCCGGCGGCCGTTCGGGACGAGCTGGGCCCGCCCCCCCGAGCGCGCTCGGCGAGGCGCAGCTGACGGAACGCACCCCGAGGCTGGGACAACGCCGTGCACCGACGAAAGCGCCCGAGGGTCCCAGCCGAAGGCCAAACCGCATAGAACCGACGAGCACGCCCGAGAACCTGGGACCTCCCGAGGGGCCCACCCGAGGGCCGACTGCCGACGTCCCAACTGGCCATCCTCTGGGGGCAGGGACGAGCGGAGCTTTCGTGACCTCAACGAGGGCGGTGCAGCGAGAGGGATGCTGGCGCGGCGGGCGGCTCCTGACGAGCGTGTCGCTCTCTCTCAGGGCCGACTGCAGCTGCCCCTCGGGTGGCGGGGGAGGGCGGAGGACCTGGAGGACTCTGATGATGTTGACCTTGTCTGTGGTCGCTCTCACAGAGGCCGCGCGCCTCGGGCCAACGCCGAGCCGCATTCTCGAGCCGCACCCCGAAGTGGCGACGAGAAAAGAGCACGGGCCAAAGCCCGCACCAAGTTTTCAAGCCGCGCCAAGCGACGGCGACCCGCTGCAGGCGGAAAACGGGCCCAGAGGAGTAGGAGGAGGGGAGGGAGGGAAGGAATCATTACTCCCAGTGGTACAGTGATTGCTGCGCTGGTCAAGCACAGACTGCAACAATGGGACATTGTGGTGCCAGACGTAGGTAAGAACTTAGGGATCGACTTCAGTGTACGCAAGAGAGCCACGAAGGTGCAGAAGACTCGATTCGCAAAGTTTCGACCTCGTTTCGCTGGACTCCGAAGTGTCAGAAGCAACATCAACGGGACCTCCGAAGTCGCCAAAGTGGGTGCCATTACATCAGCTCTCTACGAGACCTCCGACGTCGAGCTGTTGAACAACAAGGTCGTCGAGCTCAGGGCTATGATGGTTCAGGCTGTTGTTGCCACGCCCACAGGAAGACCTAGGACGCTTGAGTTTTTGCTAGGACTAGATCAGTTTGCAGACCCTCAGTTTGCAGCGAGTTCGGGACGTTTCGCCATGCAGCTGAAGATGTGTCGAGACAGAAGTGGCGGCACCACCGCACATCATCAGAGGGAACGAGGCGAACCGTACTCTTATGAGGAGAGTCGTGGGAGCCTCGCGCGGCAACCTTGGATCCAACTTACATCGGGTCGGATCCGCGTCGGGTTCACGTCAGATCCACTTCGGTTTTGCGTCGGACCAGCGCCAGAGCATCGCCGCGCGACTCGTCATCCCATATCTGACGGGGCGGACGTGTGGGCAAGATGATGCATGTCTTAGGCGCCGCGCGAGGCCTCCAGAACTGTCCTTAGAGGTGCTCGCATTGTGCGCAGCTGCGGGTGGAGGAGGGGGAGGCCGAGGCGGAAAGAGGAAGAGGGAGAGCGGGGGTACATAAAGGTAGCGATCCCGTTGCTCATCAACGGCCCCCATACGCAACACGCATCACGTGGCGTATTGATACGGAGCTCAACGCGCAGACCGAAACCGTAGGTATGACGCGACCCATTCGCCAAAGCGTGGGCCAAGACGCGGAGCCAACACGCAAAGTACTGACACGGGCGTTGTAAGCGCGATACGCGTTGCGTCTCAAGACGGGCGTATCGAGGCAGCCAAGACAGCGACACCGCTGCTCCTCTCGCTCCTGCCGCTGTTCTTGCGTTGCCGCGCACCCCTCTGGCGTCACGGGCCCCACAGGGCGCAGCGGCCACGGCCTCAGTGGCACGCACTCGCGTGCCGTCGGGGCGCTCGCCTCGGCGCACCCCTGCTCGTCCAGGTCGGTCAGGACGACAGGCCGCGACGCTGGCGGGCCCACCCGCACTGGCAGACAGCAGCCGTCGGCACCGCGCCGAGCGGGGCCCCTTCGAGCCCCTCGGCGCGACTCGCTGGCGGCCGGGCGACGTCGGACGACCAACTCGCAGATCCTGGCCAGCCCGATCCTGGTCCCAGGAGCGGCTCGGTGGTCACGAGGCCAGAAAGTTTGGCACCCGCGGCAGCCTCGCTCCCCGGACCTCTCCCGGGGCGCATCCTGACCGGGACCTCGAGGAGAAACCCTGCGCCACGGGAGACACGGCAGACAAGACACAAGCAGGCTCCCTGGAGGGAGGGGAAGGAACAGCGGCGGCGCGCCGACGAAGGTGAACCGGGCCAAATACAGATGAAAAAGACGGGCGACGAAAGTAGCCGAGACGACGACGACAACCGACGACGGGCGGCGGCAAACCACCGACGACCGACGCAGAGCAGGCACGGCCACGAGCCCGAGGGCAGGAGGAAGACGGCGACGGCGGCGAGCGGCCGACGACGGCGAGTCTCCGAGGGCAGAAGGAGTCGATGGTTCCAAGAAGGGGTCCCGAGGGATGGGGTCCTAAGGATGGGAAGGGACCCCAGGGGGGGGATTTCCTTTGCTTGAGGCACCTCGTCCTGAGGACCCTATGCCAGGACCCCAACTTTGAACCAGTGGTCTCATGACGCGATTGGCTGGGGAACTGGCCCAGGGATTCAAGAGTACCTGGAAGCCGCGCGGTGCGCGGGGCAGCAGGAAATCCTGGGGATCTTGCAGCCAGGACTCTGGGCAAACAGAACCTGTGCAAACATAAGCTTTCGGAGGCCCTCCAGGATTTGTTGTATCGGCGCTGGGAGGCCGCTCCCTGGCGCGCGGAGCGCGCCAGGGGCGGAGCCAAAGGCACCGCCAGTGGTATCCAACACAGATCCCAAAACATCCGCACAGAGCTTCGAAAGTTTATGCATGTGTAGTTCCCCACCCAGCATGCTTCAGCGGGAGAAGATCGGTACAATCGAATTTTCGCAGTCGGGGCTGCCTGTCCAAGAGCGGCCGGGAAATTCATACCCTGACGTGCAACCGTAGGGGACTAAACTTCCCGGCCGCCCTGGGACAGGCGTCCCCAACGGCGAACAAATTTCTTCTACAACGTTCTCCGCCCGCTAACATGTTGGGATTGCTGGATCGAAAGAAAAAAGCACCCGACCCGCCTCGCACACTCTGCATGGCTCGATGATCCTCACAACGTGTGTTAGCTCCAACGTGTGTTTGCCCACTGAGGCCCTTCACTACGACGAGGGCGATGCGATGATCGACGAATTGGGTTGCACGGGGGAACACACACGCTGGGCTAACACTCGGCCTGAAGACCATCGAATAGTGCGGCCGCCAGGCCCACAGTGTGCCAATGCTCCGTGGGCATCCCGCCCCGTGCCCTCGGGTGGGGACCGCTCGAAGCAAGGATTAGCACTAACAGGACCCCTCAACCCTTTGGGAGGCGCCCTAAGGCAGGGGGGCCAACAACATCAGGGACAGATGGTCTTTTCAGCAGATGTGCGAGACCAAACCGCCCAGATCTGATATTCCGAATGCGAAGACGGGGATCTCAGTGAGGTCACGTCTGAATCGTGTTGTTAGGATTAGGGGCTCTTTTGTTCGCGATGCAGCCATCTTCATTTCAACGCATCGAGGAACACACAACAGCACAATCATGTTTCCTCTGAGGTCCGCGCGAGTTTCTTGGATCGGCGGTGGAGCCCCCTCCCTGGCGCGCGGAGCGCCAGAGGCGCCGCAAGGGGGGCCCAACGCCGACCCAAGAAATCCGCACGGATCTGCGGGACATTTTGTTTATGCCATTTTTGGACCTCCGATCGCTGTCCCCGAATACGCGCGGCTCCCCAAATGAAGGCGATGTAAAAAAATCACCAACCTCAACAGAGCCCGAGTGGCGGCGAGACGGAGGGCAGACGCCCGCGATGAAGAACTCTGGGACGCGGCGGGGTGGGCGAAGCGATTCGATACTTCTCTTCGTGGCGGATTCCCCCCATAAAATTGTCATCTCTTCGGGGGTCGGTCGACTTTTGCTTCCGCCGGCTCCCGCCGGCCTTCGGCCAGCTTCCGCAGGCAGAGGCTGCCTCGTTTTGCTTCCGCTGCCTTCCGCCGACCTCCCTCCCGCCGCAGAAGAGATGGCCACTACTGCAATCCTCGAAGGCAAGACCCTTTGTGGAACGCCCCTCTTCAAGGAACGCATCACTAGGCACTAGGGGCACAAAAAATGACATAAACATAAAAACTGAGAGGTCCGCGCGGATTTCTCGGATCGGCGCTGGACCCCCCTCCCTGGCGCGCGGAGCGCGCCAGGGGCGGCGCCGGAGGCGCCGCCGGGGGGGCCCCAGCGCCGATCCGAGAAATCCGCGCGGACCTCTGAGTTTTTATGTTTATGCCACTTTTTGTGCCCCTTATCACTACCACACCTTCTTGCTCCTCCGGCCAGGCAGGCCTGACGGTCGGCTCCCCCGCCGCTGCCGCCGGCGTCTCCAAGCTTGGCGGCCTGGTGCTCCGCCTGTGTGGCGCCGCCCCGGCGGGGACCGACGCCGCCGTCGCCGTCGCCGTCGCCGTCACCGCGGCTGCGGTCGCCGCCGCCGCCGTCGTCGACGCTGCCAGATTACGTCGTCGTCGTCGTCGCCGCTGCTGTCGCCGTCCCCACATTGAGCCCATCGTCGCTGCCCGGTTGGGATGCCGTCGTCATCACCGTCGCCATTGTAACCCGAGTCGTAGTCGCCGTCCCCGTCGTTGGAGTGCTCTGGGGAGGGGGGGGGGAGGGCACGGATGAGTGGTGGGCGAGCGGGGAGCGGGGGAGCATGAGCGGAGGGAGTAGGAGCGGGGTGGGAGCGGGGAGCAAGGGAGGCAAGAGGAGTAGCAGCAGGACAATACGGAGGAGGAGGAGGAGGAGAAGGATGAGGAGGAGAATGAGGTGAACGAGGAGGAGAGGGAGGAGGATGATATTAACGAGAAAGAGGGGAAGAAAAAGAGGAAGAGGAGGAGGAGGAGCAGGAGCCGCGAAACCTCTGTGCGCTCTGCTCGCGCGGCCAACTAGAGACCAAGAGCAGGCGTGCGAAAGCGATCGAGAACGCCCCCTCCTCCTTCCCTACTCCTCCCTCCCCTCCCCCTCCTCCACCTGTGCTACGATTGGTGGGTACTGGAAACAACATGCGTCATTGTGTGTACACGGTGGCACCGAACACTGCCGTCAGTGGCAGTGGTGGCACCAGCCCCTCCTCCAGCCGACTGGAGCGAGCATCGAGTACTCTCTCACGCATGTCTAGACATGGCTACCAATGAGCAGAGCGAGGTTGCAGTGGTATGGGTCTTTCTGCCTAAGATGTGGGCTGCATTCGCCGTGACGTCTGCGAAACACATCGCAGTCAACACACGGAATCATCTCAAAGAGGCCCAGGCTTTTGGACGCAATCTCTCGCCGAGGTGGGAGGACGCTCGCTGCGAGATCAAGGACGATACGGATACGCAAGTCATAGCAGAGGGATGACAATGGCTGGCCGCGAGTCTAACCACTTTTGCTAAATTGTACCAGGGGGTTGATTGCGTGGAGGAATGCTCAATCGAGACTGACAGCTTCCATCCAGTGCAGTATCATGGGCAAGGGCTAAGTCGGCTATACAGCACAGCGGAACACGCTCGAGGCATCGTGAGGGCCAAGCCGATGGTTGTCAGCAAGATCGAGCAGATAACCGAAGACATTGCTGAGGGCTTTGAGGTGGCGTGGCAAGGCATAGAAAAATGAGTCCAGTCAACACTGGTCGGAATGGTGTGAGGAGTCAGCGCTGAGTGCAGCCAGAGCACTTCCCACATTAAATGAAGTCAAAGCCAATCCCAAACTAGCAGTTTGCCAAGGTCGAGCTAACGCAGGTGGTCCAGCCACAAAAGTTAAAAGTGAAGTGGAAGTGTGGCGTGCCCTTTGGCAAGACAGGGGGGAGGCACCACATGCTGGGGTGCCAGATCGTTCCACATGTCCACGGCTCGATCCAAGCGAGATCAGTGAGATCATCCAGACTTGTCTGGCAATCACGGCTTCGAACTCTGTTCACTTGCACCCCAGACATGGTCTCATGATTGCTGAGATTGGGCTACTTCCAAAACAAATGTGCCGGATACAGATGCCGATGTTATGCAAGCCATCAGGTGGCAATCGATTGATACTTCTGTATGCGGCATGTACAGGGTCTGGCAACGAGCTCGCAAATGGATGGTCAGAGGGCTACATGATCAGCTAGAGCGAAGGTACTGGGGAACAACACAATGCAGGTCGGCACTCGACTGCGCTTGGCTGCAAACTGCTCGTGCTGAGAATCATCCAGCTGAACATTTTGACCATGTCATGTGGGTCGTGGACTGGACAAAATGGTACGAATCAAATTGCTCGATAAGCTCAAGATGAAGTTCATTCGTGCAGGAGCGCTGGTATACTAGACCAGTCTGGTGTGCAACACATGGCGCGGGCCACGGATCATCGGTTGGGCAAACATCACCCAACACAGTCATTGTTTACACGATGTGGGCTGCCAGCTGGAGATGGAGACAGTGACCTTTCCACCAAAGTTCATGCTGCAAAGAAGTGCGAAGTGCCCGGCGGTCGGTTTTCTCAGCTACATCGACGACGCAACCATCAACAATTCGGTATGCTATTATGATATTGCAAAGTGTATGGCAATGAGTGCTAGGAGAGAGTCCAGGAGCACCTCAGGCCAAGCCAATGCCAGCATGAATCTCGACAAGGTGGCGCTGTCGGCATCATCTCAGAAGTTAGAGTCCGAGGCGTGCGACGAGGTAGGTTTCCCCAGGTTAATTGTGAACAAGAACGTGTCCTACCTGAAGGTGGACGAGGCTGCAGGGGCGACTCGATCCTCCAAGGGAGCCTGGGCTAAGCAAAAGGAGCGACATGAGGGTATAAGTCATAGGTTGAAACATGCTGTTGGTTCTTTGTTTTGTATAAAACATCGATGGTTTAAAAGGTAGAGAAGACACCCCGTGCTCAAATATTTCTCGGGCTGGAATTGCCCCAACCAGCAATATCGGCGTCGGGGCTTCAGGTCTGAACCAGACCGACTGGGTTTCACACCAGAGGCTGCTGTGCAACCCCGTATCCCCATCTCACGGGGGAGTTTCTCTCTGGGCGAAGCTGGTGCTTCTGGGGGACCAGAACTTCAAGATGCCAGTACCACAAGCAACCCATTGGTGCAGAATGATCTGGCTTGCCTCCGCCCAGCCCGAGAACGCCATAGCCACAATGAGTGAGCTCCCTAGATTGTGGGGCTCTGCCAAGCCTATGAAAGGTGGCTCGTGGGATTCCAGTCGAGGGCCCCTGCGTCGTGCTGTTGTTGTTCTTCAGAGGGCTGGGTGGAAAGACGTATGGCCTTCGGAGTGGAGCGACCACAACGGTCTCGGCGTTCAGATTGATCGAACGCCTCCGACCGACCCTTCTGGCTGACATGCCAGAGTCAGGAATCCAACGTTCGGGGCCACATGCCAGGGCTTTAAGCGTGCATGTCAAGTTGTTGATCCAATGCTGTGCATGTAACTGAGTGTGGACCACTGAGAGAAGTCTGTTGGCGGGGTATGCGACGGACGGTCTTTGTGAGTGCGGAATGGTCGACACACCCTACCACCGGCTGCACCAATGTTCTAAAGATGATGCAATCCAAGCCAGGCAAGAGGCTGAGGTCACGTCCGGGCGCATTGCCGCTGCGCTGGAGACTCCGAACCTTGAGGGGCTTCACTCGCAGCGTGTTTGTTTATCCTGCCAGAGGGTTGCCGAAGCCATCGACGTCCTCCAGTGCATAATTGTCTTATGTGCGGGGGCGACCCGCTGGATTTGGACCCTGAAAAGATTGTCGGTCTTTCGAGCAGGTCTTGAGGCTCGTGTCGGCTGGCTCTTGCCTCACGGCCCCCTCTTGCGTGCCCTGCAGACAGCTGCCTGGGCAACAGGGGTCTGCGAGAGAGCGGCCAGAAGGCAGAGCCCGTCGCAGTGACGAGGGGGGGGTGCACGGCATTTCCCCTCACACGCCAGCTACAGCGGAGCAAAACAAGTTGGCACTGCACCGTGTGGTCCAGTGGCCCACCGCCCCGCCGTCCCCAGGGGCTGAGTGCAAGTCCGCGATAAAAAAACATGCACCCAGAGGAAGCGCGCAGCAGAGGTTGGCCGCCAGCTCCAGTGTCTTCGCACGCCCTCGAAGGCACGAATCTCATTCAGGAGGTAGGGCATGTCAACGCCCATCGTTCCCAGGGGGTCATGGCTGCCTGGTCCTAGCTCGAGCGTGAATTTGCGGCTGCCAACTCAGTGGTCGACCAGCATGCCAAGCAGGCTCTTCGTCACCATGAAAGCGCGGACCCTCACTTCCTGTCATCTCTTGGGCTGGCCGCTGAGCGAGCCAAGAATTTCTGTAACTTGGCAGCGGCGGTGCTGCCGCTGTCTACGAACGATCTCAGGTGGCAACGCCCTCCCTGACCCCCCACCCCGAGACAGGTCTTCCAAGCTGCGACTGGACGGGCCCGCAGGCTTTCACGGCAAGAAGTGCCTGCAGCGGGAGGGAAACAGTTAGAGCAGTCAGGTGTGCAAGGATGTCGCGGAGTCCCTAGCTTTGCAGGGCAGCTTCTCCAGGATCCGTCCTACGAGCAGCGAAGGGCGGCTCTACTGGAGCGTATCCGTAGATGTGAAACATCCAAGCGACGAGGCCACCTTCGACTCCTGTCCATCCAGAGCCCCGTGATCACCGCGACGTAAGGAGGATGCCAGCCACCAGGGAGGGGAAGGGAGAAGGGAGGATGCAGGAAGAGGAGGGAGGGGCTACAGCGAGGAGACAGAGGAAGGAGGGGGCCGCCAAGGAGGAGGGCACCTGCGAGGGAGGAGGGAAGAGGGAGGACGGCGGAGGAGAGTGGACAAGACGGAGGAAGGAGGGGTACGCATGAGGAAGGACAAGGATGGCCGCCAGGGAGGAGGAGGGAGGACGGGGGAGGACGCAGGAGGAGGGAGAACGGCGCCGGGAGGAAGAGAAGGGAGGGGCTGCAGCGAGCAGGCAGAGGAAGGAGAGGGGTGGGGGCCGCCGAGGAGGGAGGCATCTGCCAGGGAGGAGGAGGGAGGACGGCGGATGAGAGAGGACAAGGAGCAGGACGGAGGAGCATGCACGAGGAGGGAGAAGGACGGCCTCCAGTAGGAATGAGGGAGCACGGAGGAGGAATGAGGCGGGCGCAAGAGGAGGAGGAGGAGGGAGAGAGAAGGAGAAGGGATGGGGTACGACGAGGAAGACGGGTAAGAAGAGAGGAGCGGCCTGCTCACCGCCTTCCTGTCTGTGAGACGTTGTCGTCGTGGTCGGCTCTGTCCCTCATCGGAGCCGCCGCCGCCGTCGTCGCACCCGTCGTCCACTGGGATTCGCTTTCGCTCCCAGGCGCTCACAGCCAGACGCTCGCAGCGAGACGTGCCAGCGAGTGGGTATGCACATCTGGGGATCTCTGACACCCCCTCGGGAGGGCTCCGATGGCCGCCCCATGACAACGCTCGGCGATCCCGCGCGCGCGACTGGGGGAACCAAACAGGTACCGATACCGCTACTCCCCTGACCTCTTCCGGAGTGCGTTCTGACCTGAATTTCGAGGCGCATCTGGCAGTGGCGACGAGGGCCTCCCAGGAGGCCCCAAAAAGGCGAACAGGAGGGAAAAGTGGCGGTATCGGTACCTTTTCCTCGTCTGAACGGGGAGCTACTGACCCAGAGCAATCCAAACCCGGATCAGTCGGACTTTGCAGGATCCTGCAGGATCCTGCACGCTAGCCAGGGTTAATGCAACCATGGCTCTGCAGGATCCTGCAAGATCCGGCGCGCTGGCTGACTCCAGTTTGCGTTGACCCCCGTCTGAAGGCTCCCGAAACGAGGGAAGGGTGCGAGAGGAATGACCCCGCTGTGGCTAGGGCGGGTCAAGAGCCATTGACCGCCCCTCCTCCCTGCCTGGTGGGCGGGCGGTGGCCGGATTGTCCCGCGGTGGTGTCCCGTCGCTGTCCCGTTGGTGTCCCGTCGGTGTCCCGTCGGTGTCCCGTCGGTGTCCCGTCGGTGTCCCGTCGGTGTCTCGTCGGTGTCCCGTCGGTGTCCCGTCGGTGTCCCGTCGGTGTCCCGCCGTGGTGTCCCGTCGGTGTCCCGCCGTGGTGTCCCGATGGTGTCCCGTGGTGTCCCGTGATGTCCCGCGGTGTCCCGCCGCGGTGCCCCGTGGCGTCCCGTGGTGTCCTGCGGTGTCCCGTGGTGTCCCATGGGATCGATATCGAGATCGATAGTCGATAGTGAGATCCAAAGTGAGATCGATCGTGAGATCGATATTGAAAAGAATAGGGAAATCGATTGTCAGATCGGTAGTGCGACCGGGTGTGCGATCGATACTGAAATCGACAGTGAGATCGACAGTCAGATTGATCATTGGATCGATCGTGAGATCGATTGCGTGAGGCGTTGGTTCCTCTCCCCCCCGACCCTCCTTGTCACCCGAGGGGTGGTCGCATAGGTACGGATGCCAATTCCTCCTCTGAGCGAAGGCGCCTCCTTCCGCTGGTCCAGCGCGCTCCTGGTCTCGCGCAGCGTGGCCTCGGCTGGGGGGCAGTTGTCGCGGGCGTTGCCCGGGGCGGGGGGGGAAGGCGCCCCAGCGAGTGAGTGGGCGAGGGGGAGAGGAGGAGCGAGGAGCGAGGAGGAGCGAGGAACAGGAGGAGGAGGAGGAGGAGGAGGAGGAGGACCAGTGTAAACCCAGGAGGAGGAGGAGGCGAGGAGGAGGAGGAGGAGGAGGAGGAGGAGAAGGAGGAGAATACGCCCTCCCTCCAAACTCCCTCTCTATAGGCCCCTATAATGGTTCATTGTTACTGAGGGAACTGCCTCCTCGGAGGACAACCGTTTGAAGACCCTGAAGCGCGCCAAGACATTCCAACGCCACGGATCAACCTGACTGTTGCGTCTTGGCGATTCTGAACCGTGCCAGAACGCCATTCCTAGGAATTGAACACCGCGAGCCAGCATAACTTGTTCACCCCCATAAGCCTGAATCCTTCCAACATACCATTATGGTACATTGTTCATGGGATACCGTTAAACTCTTGCAAATGTTTAAGATGAGCGTGCGCGACGCCAAGGCGAGCCACATTTTGAAAAGGAACCGCCCTCAATCCGTGAAGCTCCTGCAATGTTTACGACTAGTGTTCGCGGCGCTGAGACGAGAACATCATTTTGAAAACGACTCGCCCTCAGTCCATGAAGCTCTTACATGTTTCTAAAACGAGTGTGCACGGCGCTAAGGCGAGAGCCACATTTTGAGAACGGCCCGCCCTCAATCCGTGAAGCTCTTGCGAACGTTTAAGAAGAATATGCGCGGCGCTATGGCGAGAGCCACATTTTGAAAACCACCCGCCCTCCATCGGTGAACTACTGTCAATTTGAAAACGCCAGAACCATAAATCATGAGCAAGTGCCAGGCGAAACGCCAGGCTCGACCGAAACACTGGCCTCTGGGTGCGGCAGGGAGAAGTTATTTCTAAGGAGAATGAAAAAGGAGCGAGGAACGACGAGCGAGGAGGAGCGAGGAGCGAGGAGGAGCGAGGAGCGAAGTGGTGGTGGTGGTGAACGGTAGCATGCACGTCAAGTTGTGCTCACATGCATACACTCTGAGGGGCGAGGAGTAAGGAGCAAGGAGCGAGGATGAAGAGGAGGCGGAGGAGGAGGAGACATCGGCGGAGGAGGAGGAGGAGAAGGAGGAGACGGAGGAGGAGGAAGGTGACGAGGAGAAGGAGGAGGAGGAGGAGGAGGAGGAGGAGGAGGAGGAGGAGGAGTAGGAATGAGGAGACGGAGGAGGAGGAGTGAGTGACTGGGGAGTGACTGATGGGCACCACGTGCCGTCCCTCAAGGCCCCTGGAGTGCAGAAGGACACGGGCCTTCGCACGTCCAGGGCAGCACGCTCGGCGCAGGAGGAACACGAGACTCCGCACCGAGCCGAGGCGCAGGAACACGAGCCTCCGCACCTCGAGGGGCGCAGGAGGAACACGAGCCTCCGCGCCCTCGCCACGCTCAGCCCAGCATGATGTGGCCGCCGAAGACGAGCGCGACGCACTAGCTGAGCAACCCGAGTACTGGAACGCAGACTTGTCCCCCAACACGTAGGCCACCGCTGCACATCGGCCTCCCTGAGGTCGCAGCAGTGGTCACTTCACCACAAAGCTGGCACAGTCGAAGATGCCCTCGTCGAAGGCTTGCTGGATGGCCTCGTCTACGGCCTCCTGGGTACTCGCCAGCTGCTTGTGGAGGGCGGCCACCTCCTGGGCCGCCCTTTGGATGTCGCGGAGCTTCTCAGGATCCTTCTAGCAGTACTCGAGCCAGGCGCGTGTGGAAGGAATCGCTTCCTCCAGGCGCTCCTGGTCCGAGCCCGGACTGCTGCTGGCGGCTGCACGGAGGGTCGCGCCAGCACGGCGCCTGCCCCTCTGCCTCCGCTTCGCTTCCTTCCCATCCTTCGGGAGGGCTGCAACTCCTTCACCAAAGAGCGCACGCTCCGCAACGTTCCTGATGGCCTTGTCCTCGCCCGTGAGGTTCACCTTTACCTCGTCATGGGCCGCGCGGACCTTCGCACCGATCACGGGCTTGATCATCTCGATCCTCGCCTCGATCTCCTCCAGGACCTCCTTCTCGTCGGCCGCCTGGGCAGACACCGCACGACCAGCACGCCAGAGGGCGACCGCCGTGGCCGCCACAACCTGGCGAGAGCCGCCCGCTCGAACCACAGCGCCGAGCAGCGCCTCCGCCAATGCATCGGACATGGATGAGAAACCGCGGCCAGCTCAAACCTGGGAGAGGCAAGCGGCTCTTGAGCCAAAATGGCTCCGGTCGGAGGAGGAGAAAGAGGAGGAGGAGGAGGAGGAGGAGGAGGAGGAGGAGGAGGAGGAGGAGGAGGAGGAGGAGGAGAGAGGAGGAGGAGGAGGAGGGAGGGAGGGATGAAGGAGGGAAAAGGAGGAGAAGGAGAAGCGAGAAGGAGGAGCGAGGAGGTGGTGGCGACGAGCGAGGAGAGAGGAGCGAGGAGGAGGAGGAGGAGGAGGAGGACGAGGAGCGGAAAGGAGGAGCGAGGAGCAGCGAGGAGGAGCGAGGAGCGAGGAGCGGAGAGCGAGGAGAAAAAGGATCTGGAGGAGAAGGAAGAGGAGGAGGAGGAGGAGGAGGAGGTGGAGGAGGAGGAGGAGGAGGACGACGAGGAGGAAGAGGAGGAGGAGGAGGAGGAGGAGGAGGAGGAGGAGGCTAGGTGTGGCGGGGGGGGGGGAGAGGAGACCACCCGGCATCTCAGGAACTCCCCCTCCGCCCCCCCCCCCCGCGCCATCCCCTTGTCTTGTGCGCGCCACCCGCGGCCGGGTCCTGGCGTGCCCGCGTCCCTGCCTCCCCGCACATACCTGGCCAGTCGGCCCACTTGCAGGCGCGGACGCACGGCTCGGCGTCGGTGGTGAGCCCGCGCCGACACGACAAGAACCTGCACGCGCGGCAGAGGCAATCCGCACGCGCGTCCGAGCGAAACCGGGGCACGAGGTCGGGAATGAGCCCACATGCATGAGAGAGAGGAGGGAAGGCGGGCGGCCGCAGAGAGGGAGGAACAGGTAGGCGCGGGGCCCGCTCACGCGGCGCTGCAGCGCTGAAGGGCGGGGAGCGGCCTGGCCGGGGTCCATGCTTGCAGCGGCTGTGGGGCGGCGTCGCAGTGGGGGCCGGCAGCCAACCTGCGCCATACAGGCCTGGTAAAAAAATCAGCGGACTTCCATGCCACGTTCAACTGCCAATGCCCCTACCACACGTTCAATGATGGCGGTGGGCGGAATGAGCTGCACTTCGGCCGATGGCCTGCCTGCCCAGGCGCACACACGGACGCACGGCAAGGTGGTGGTGGTGGTGGTGGTGGTGGTGGTGGTGGAGGTGGTGGTCGTGGTGGTGGTGGGGGTGGGCCAGAGGAGGTCGAAGTGAGACAGCCGCAGCTCAAACTCCGTCCCGGGACCCCTCCCGGGGTCCGACCGTACCAGCCTTCCGAGACGTGCGGGGCTCCCCCTCGCTGCTCCTCCTCCTCCTCCTCCTCCTCCTCCTCCTCCCTCCCTCCCTCCCTCCGTCCCTCCCTCCCTCCCTCCCTCCCTCCCTCCTTCCTCCTCCGCCTCCGTCTCCTCATCCGTCTCCTCCTCCGTTTCCTCATTCCTCCTCCTCATTCCTCCTCCTCCTCCTCCTCCTCCTCCTCCTCCTCCTCCTCCTCCTTCGGCCGCGCTGCATCCGAGCGCCGCGGGCCGACGGGGCGGGCAGGCGATGGGGGCGCCTCCAGGGCGGCGCACCGCGTGACCTCGCCCTGGACCTGCTCCTCGAGGTCTTCGGCTTTCTGCACGGGTGGCCCGCGGGCCGCGGGAGGAGGGCGGGGAGGAGGGCGGGTTGAGAAGGGGGGGTGAGGAGGGATGAGGAGGAAGAGGGATGGGGAGACATTGGGGTGGGGAGGAGGAGGGGGAGGAGAAGGAGGCAAACGAGGAGACGTGATGATGATGAGGATGATCTGAGGAAGAGGAAAGATGAGGATGAGGGATGAGAAGGAGTAGGGCTGATCTGGAGGACGGGGAGGAGAAGGAAGAGATAGAGGAGGAGAAGGAGGAGGACGAGGCATGATAAGGAGGTAGGAGGAGACAAGGAAGAGGATGGGTGAGGAGGAGGAATGGGGAGATGTAATGAGGAGAAAGGGGAAGATAATGAGGAGGAAGAGAAGGAGATGCGAGGAGGAGGAGATGAAGACACAGAGGGATGATGGGAAGGGATGAGGAGGAATAGGATGAGGAGGGAAATGGGGAGGAACAATAGGATAATGAAGTAGAAGAAGAGGGATGCTGCTGATGATGATGATGATGATGATGATGATGATGAGGAGGAGGAGGAGGAGGAGGAGGAGGAGGAGGAAGTGTGAGGAGGAGGAGATGAGGAAGAGCGATGAGTAGGTGAGATGAGGAGAAATGGGGATGACGAGGATCATCGTGAGGAGAAGACATAATAAAAAGGAGGAAGAGAGGAGGAGGAGGAGGAGGAGGAGGAGGAGAAGGAGGAGGAGGGAGATGAGGAGGGATGGGATAGAGGCGGATAGGATGGGTAGGAAGAGGGACGAGGAGGGAAGATGAGAAGATAGGGACGAGCAGGAACAGGGGATGCGAAGGAGGACGTGGCAGAGGAGGAAGGATGCTGATGAGGAGGAGGATGAGGAGGAGGAAGAGGATTGAGGAAGAATAGGGAGAGGGGGGGAGGAGGAGCAGCGAGGAGGAGGAGGATGAGGGGGGGGCAGAAGGATGGATGAGGACGAGGAACAGGAGGGAGGGGAGGATAAGGAGCTCAACGACGGCGGCGTCCGAGTCGCGAGCTTGGGCCTCCTCCCGGAGGTGCAGACTGCCGTCATGAAGAACTTCACTCAGCACGACGAGTACCAGCAACACTACGACATCTTCATCAGCAACACCATCGCTTCCAACAACCTTGGGCCCATGGGTGTGTTCCCGGAGCCGGATGTCCACGACTCCGGTTTCCAGGCCAAGTTCTTCGATTAGATCTCGGAGTCAGCAGGGGCCGACTCGGAGATACTTCCTGACGGAGGCGTTCGGGGCCCACTTCCTGACGAACGCCACATACCTTCCTGCGACCTCGGAGTGGGCAAACTCCGATGTCCAGACCGTTACTCAGTTCATGCATGGGTCAGCCTCAGGCGAGGGATCGGCCACACCGACTTCGACTTGGGACGCTGTGGGATTGGCGGACCTCGTCGGCTCCGACCCCGCACCCAGCAGTCCCTGCTGCCACACCGTCGGCATCGCCGCCGAGATCTACCTGTCGTTCGTGGCCTTCCTCGGCCTATACTACTTCTTCGTGACGGCCTTCTTCCGGAAGCCGAAGAGGAGTCCGACGTCCACGCATCGCCCACGCCGGGGCGTCGATCAGGGAATACAGCCTCCTGATTCACGTCTTTTCCAAATAAATTTTGTCGGCAATTCCTCCTTACAGACTTTGGAGTTGGATCCTGATTTGATGTATCATGCCCCCTCGAGGGGAGCGGCCTCAAACCTTCTCGGCGGCGGTCGCACCAAGGACATCAAGAACGAGCGTAGCACGGACCTTCTGGAGGGCATCCGGAAGCTCCTGGACTTCCACACGGCCGCGCCTCAGCAGCAGCCGGCCGCCACGAACCACTCCCACCCCAAGCGCAAGCCGAAGCCGACGCTTCATGACGCCCTGGGCCTCAGAGGCGCCCTCGGCAAGGCCAAGTGCGACCAGGGACATCTGGGCAAACTCCGGTCCATCCTCCGGGCCGTGGACGCTGGCCACATCACCCTCGGGGACAACGAGGCTGGCAGCGATCGGCCCGCCAGACCGCAGGGCGGACGGGCCCCCCCGGAAGGCTCTCGGCGAGGTGCAGCTGACTGTGGCAGAGGGTGCGGCGGCGGCGGCGCCTCGGCTGGCAAGGGCTCTGGCTCTGAGCAGCCCCCGGCGCCCACGGTCACGCCCCAGCGTCCAGACACAGCATCCGCCCATGGAGCTGGCAAGGGCAAGGATGCCGGGCCGCCGCGGGCCCTTTCCCAACGCGAGTGGCCCAAGGCCACCGTCTCCAAGCAAGGGTTCGTGCTGGCCAAGCTGAGGAACGGGGATCTCCCGTCGGCTGGCCACACTGCCTGCCTCGCCGAGTCGACGGACATGGCCGACGAGATGTTGGCCCTCTGGCGTGCGCACCACCAGAACGACACAGACGCCTCCCTGACAGTGGCCGTCGTGGCGACCAAGGAAGACTCCTGGCAGCCAGACGGGGCCACGGGCATCTTGGCGCACCTCACCCTCGTGAAGCTGGACAAGCAGGCCGTCAAGCTGGTCAAGAACATCGTGCTTGGCAAAGCCGTGGATCCCTATGCGAGCCCGACCATCAAGGATGTCAAGCAAGTTCCGAAGCGGCAGGACACCGTGACTGTCCGGCTCACCGTCTTCGCCGATTATCTGTCGGACAAGCTCTCGCTGTTCTCCGCGAACCAGGCCCTCAAGGCGGTGTGGCCAGCAGCAGGCAAGGGCATGCTGTTCGGATGCTGGCGTCCGAATGGCACGGAGGGCAAGGATCCCGACTCGTACACCAGGTACGTCACTGGCACGCCGGCCCAACGCAGCGATTTGTTCAAGATCAGCGGCAAAGCGGGCGTTTTCGTCCAGCACCTGGCGTCCTTTCGTGACCGACGCGATCGGACGACTGTGGCGTGGGTCGCCCGGCCTGCCGGGTTCACGCCGCTCGAGTACCGCGACCTGGCCCTCCAGGAGGCTGATGGCAAATCGCTCGTGCACAGAATGGGGAGTTGGCCCGGATCTGGGCGACTAGCGCGACGGCATTGACGCACGGCAGTGTCCTCCGCACATCTGGCGAGCTACCACGCCGCGCTGGTCCTTCCTGGAGGCCAACGACTGGCAACAAGTGCAGGTCCTCACGCACCTCAGCCCTGGCTCCTGGCGCGTCCGCGCGGGCGCCCAGCCGCTCGCAACGACCACATACAGATACGAGGCAGGCTTCGACGACGACATGGGCCACGTCACCGTCCTTCCCCTGCCGCGCAAGGTGAAGTCCACCAACGAAGGACGTACTCTCAGACGGCCAGACTTCCCGTGGCTGGACACGGATGTCTCGGCAGCCCCGCCGCAAGGCGATGCCCCCGCCCCGCTCGCGGCTGCAGCTACTGCGGCGAGCGATCCCCCTGGCGAGGGTGATGCACCCATGCCCGCGGCAGCGCCCGCGGCGCCCTCTGCTACG